CGACAAGGTTCTTATTTGTCGGGGGGGTTTTTAAGTTCATTTATTCCAGGTTTCTACCCGACGCGATTCCTTAGGGACAAATACTCGAATTTCGTTGGTGCTAAAATTTTCCGAAGAATGTGGGCCGTCCCACATAGTGCGATTTCCTCGATGGTTTCTTCTTCTTTTAGGTTCTTATTATTATTATTATTATTATTTTAACGTTTTCGTTTGGATTTCGCGTAAGATTATAAATAATTTTTTTTTCTAAAAATTTACAGTCTACCGGTTTGAATTAAAAAAAAAAAAAAAAAAAAAAGAACGGGATGTGCATAAAATAATATGAGTAACACTCCGGAAGGAGATCGATCATTGTTTAAATTTTTTTCTTTTTTTTTTAAATATTAAAATTAAACAAAATCTTTTCTAAATTATTTAATTCAATTTTTTTTTTTTTTGGTTGTTGTTCCGGTGAATCATTTTAAAAAAAAAAACCCAACCGAGGTTTGAATTACATAAAAATAATAATAATAATAATAATAAGATTCAGGTGAAAACTTGTTTTTGTATCTTTTGTTATTATTCAAAATAAATTTTTTTCTTTCTATTTTTTTTTTTTTTTTTTTTTTTTTTTTGGAAAACAAAATTTTTTTTTTTTTTTTTTTACGTCAGACGTTATATTAACTACTTTTTTTTTTTTTTTTTTAGATTAAAAACTTTAAACTTAACTTTTGACTCCATCTTTATAATTTTGACAAAGTCTACTTTGCTATCATTATGTTTATATGTGCATTAAATGATGATGATGATGATGATGAACACCGTGAAAAATAACATTTTACATTAATTACCCTCAACAGTAATGTTTAAATTATTTTCAGGGGCCCCCCCACGACCACGACCACGACCACCACCATGACAACGATCGATAAGACCCAAGCTTTGTGGGGCATTCATGGATTTAAAAACTTTTTTTTTTTTCAAAACATTCCCAGCTAAAAAATATTTCAGGTATACAAAATTTTGTAAAAAAAAAAAAAAAAAAAACGACAAAATTATATTCGATTCATGTTTTATATTTATATACTTCGAACCTTTTTCCCTTCCATTTTATTGAATCAAAATACAACAAATAAATTTAAAAAAAAAAAAAAAAAAAAAATGGTACTCGTGTCCATGTGTAAAAAATTTTTTAACACTTTGTTTAAATAAAAAAAAAAAAACAGATTTCCAACATGTTGTCTGTGTACATAACAAATGAATTTTTTAAGCCATAACAATTTATTTTTAATTTTGTATAGAAAATCAAAAAAAAATATTTTTTACAGGCTTGTTAATATGGTTGGTTGTAGAAAAGAAAAAAAAAAAAAAAATTCAATTGTAACCGTCGTTTTATTAATAAAGAAATAAACACCCTCTTAAGGGAGGTTTTTTTTTTTTTTTTAATAAAAAAATCAGGTCCGGCCTTTAAATAGATTTCATCCCTTTTTTTTCAGGCAACAATCAAACAAGCAGACAAACAAACGACAAACACACACACACATCAGGCTTCTGTAATTTTTTCGGGAGTGGAATAATAATCGTTTTAAACAAATATACCAAAAGTTTTCAGGTACTCAAATATTCTCACGACAAATATAAAAAAAAACTTAATTCAAACATCGTTCTTTTTTTTTCTACAAAGTCCTTGACTTTGAGAAAGCGAGCCATCTTATTATTTTTTTTTTAATTCAAACTTTTTCCTACCCCTCCCCTCCTCTCCCCACCCCTCGAATTAAACTATACCAAAGTCCTCAGAGTTAAATTTATAAAAAAAAAAAAAAAATTAAAATTTTATGGAAACAAAGAAGAAAGGTCAGTAAAAATTCTTATCATGGTGGTCACTGGTGGATAATAATATTTTTCAAAAATTTTATTAAAAATATAAATAAAAGATAGATTTATATATATATATATATATACAAAAAGATACGTTTTGATTTATTATTATTAAAAATAATAATAATAATTTATATTAATACTCAATGATGATGATGATGATGATGATGATGATGAACAAATCCGTTGATTCATTCTTTAAACAGTTAAAAACAAATATAAAATTTTTTTTATTTATAATTATTTATTTTCTTATTATTAATATATATTTGAGGAAAGAGAGAGAGAGAGAGAGAGACAACATATGCACTCATACACAGTTAAAACATGAGATTATTATTAATACCAATTAAAAAATAATAATAATTTTTATCTTGCACACAACACACACACAGAGACAATGACATGTCCACAAGATGTCAACATCCAAACAAACAAACAAACAAATAATATATAAAGTTTTTAACATGTACAATACAATCCAATGCAAAAAAAAGGAGAAAACAGAAAAATGTGGAAGCTCAACAGAATTCATTCAAGCTCCTGTTTGTGAAATTTCATAAAATCAATAATAAACCAACCCGAGAAGTCATATATATAAAATAACTGCATAACAACAACTTCTTTTTCTTTTTCTCATTTTTGCTCACACAAATAACATGTTTGGAAAAAAATATAATTATACCTTATGATTTAAAATAAGAAGAAGAAAAAGAAGAAAATTCTTGTTCACTTACATAAATAATAATAATAATAATAATATTGAAAATTATTTAATTCAAAACAAAAAAGAAAAAAAAATTGCAAACATTGCAAACAATTTTTAATAATAATAATAATAAATATTTTATTGCCTATTTGAATTGTTGAAAATATACTTTGAAAAATAAATATTAATAAGAAAAAGTATTATTATTATTATTATTTTCACTTTTATTTAATAAAAAAAAAAAAAAAAAAAAAATCAATGTATACTATATATATATTATAGTCTCTAGCCTGAATTCAATACCGTTATTGTGTTTATGGGTTGTAATTTGTTCATTGTGTAGAAAAAGAAAAAGTTATTATTGCTGAATTGCTTCATGTGAATTTATTTATTTATTTATATTAAATAAGTACCTTATAATAAATAATAATAATAATAAAAACCTATATTTTCACAAAGTTCTTGGGTATGAAGTATCAAAAAAAAAATTTTTTTGATTTTTCATCATTCATTCATCCATTAATTATTATAATTCAATTTAATGATTTGTTTAATATGTTAAATTAACAAATGCATAAACATAAACTAATAATAAATTTATAAAACAAAAAAAAAGAATCAACTGTCAAACGAACCGTTTCCAAAAGAAAAAGTAACCAACAAAATGGAGATGTGTAAAATTTTTATGATAATAATAATAATAATAATTAAATAAAATGAAATTAAAACTTACCGGATTTTCTTTTTTCAAATATAAAAAAAAAAAAAAATGCGAATCCGAATATAAATTTTCGTTATTTTCTTTTTTTTCTTGTATAACGTTATTATTATATTATATAAATTAAAAAATTATTATTTCTGACAAAATAAAATAGTTAGAGAGAGAGAGAGAGAATAAAATGGATGACTTATAAAATACAAAAAAAAAAAAATTTTAACTCTCACTTGTCTGTTGAAAACCTCCGAAGAGACTGACCGGCGTATCGAGTTCGTAGCTGCACGTCAAAAACTCGTAACGGGAGGGGAGGGGGGGGGAAAAAGAGGGGAAAAGGGAAATTAAAAATGTCTTGTAATCCATGCGCGTGAGACTACTGGAGGGTGTAATACTTGAAACCATTCTTCCATTTTTTTTTTTTTTTTTTTTTTTTTTTTAAATAAAAATAATAATTTATAATTGCTTATTCATTGAATATGTTTGTTGAACTCGATATTATTTAATATAATTCAAAACAAATGCATTCAACTTGTTTAAAAAAATTAACTTATAAATGTTTAACATATCTTATTCAGTAGAACAGAAAATTAATAAAAAAAAAAATTATGATGCATAGAATAGAAAAAAAAAAAAAAAAAGAAAAAACTTACATTAAAATAATAATAATAATTATGATATGGATATAATTGTTTTTAGTTAAAATAGTAAAAATTTATTTTGTTAACAACAATGCCTACCTTTTAAACTTATTCGATTACAAGTTTTTGAATATTTAACATTATCGTTTATACAGACAAAATATTTATTCAACGATGAAATTTATAAATATCTACCTGTTCGAAAAACCATAAAATTTATTAAGCTATTTAAAAAATTCTTGATATTTGCAGGTTTTCCACATTAAATTACATGAATTATTACATTCAGTATATTTATACTGAATAAAATAAAACACACATAAATGATTAAAGATTTTTAATAAAATAAAGGAAATTAATTTGAAAGATTTAAGAGAATTTTATTTTAAATGGTAGTAAATAAAACACCAGAAAGTTACTCGAATATAAAAATTATATTAAATTTTTACAATGGCACTTTTTAAATGTTTTTAAAATTAATTTTATTTCTATAATGATTCAATTGTTTTATTTAAATATTAAATATATTAAAGTGTATATATATATACATTTATATATTAAAGTATAAAAAAAAATTGATGAAGTAATATCAAATTTGCTTTATCATATTTGTAATTCCATTTTGAGGCCTAATAATTTTTACATTGTGGCAAATTCATCGATAAGCAAAAAAAATTTGTTTAAAATAACAAGCATAATACTTAAAGGATAGTAAATATTAATTTGTGGTAAATTAAATATTTATTTCATTAAAATTATAAAGGAAGGTTTAAACCCTAACAATCAAATTTTTACTTTTTAAAAAATAAATAAACCAAAAAGAAAATGATTTTTAATTGTTAATAATTAATGAATTTAATAAATAATGCGGTTTAAATAGAAAATAATATTTCAATATAAAAAATGAAAAAATTAACATTATTACTTAAATAAATAACATTTATCTTATTAAAATA